ATTATTATTGTTGTTTTTATTATTATGCTTATTGTTGTTTTTATTAGTAGCAGTGGTAGTATTGTTATTGCCATATTTAAATGCAGCCAAATGTGCTGATGTGACGTAACCATACAATAGTTATCGTGTCGGAATAGAGATTTTAAGATCTCGAGTGTTTCATAATCTGTTGGGTCGCGTGTGTATTCATCAGTTCCCTCTCTCATCTGCATCGAAAGTTAAGAACAACTTTGTAATTGAATAACGAGTGTGTGAAAAAACATTCTCTGCAAGTGCAGCTGTAAAAGCTGCTCTTTAGCAGATTTTCTTGCCAAACGGACTTAAGCAAAGTGAGATGATCGAGCTGGCGTTGAAGGTGTGACTCCTCATCAGCACCGCTCCGCTCCTCTGTCCAGGCATTTCCACCGGGGAGGCAGCGAGCGTCCGCCACGTGACCCAGCGTCCGCCAATAGCAGCTCGGCAGCCTAACTTTGCTGATAAGGGATGCACAGTAAAGAGCGAGCGGACAGAAAGAGTTTCACTCCGAGCTACAGTTGTGGCCTCACTGGTTCTTAAAGCAGTGTTAAAACAGACAGTGTCCATCCGGATTTGCGTCCTTTTTGATTTTGCTCTGCTCAGCAGCCAATGTGAGGCTGCAGCTATTCCTCCATCAGCTTTTAGTTATCAGACAATCACCCCTGACTGGCTGCAGTTCAGATGTTGGGAGACAAGGCTCACGGTAAGTCTCTCCTCTTTCATCGGTCTGTGTGTGTCTGCATTATAGCCTGCAGGGAAATGTTTTAAATGCTCTGTGACCTAACCCTGCACAAAGTAAATCCCCAGCATCACAGGTCCACAGCCTGTTGTCTCATTAAGATCAATGATGATACAGCAATGTTTTTATTTGGCAAAATCAATACGTTTGTTTTCCCCCCGTTATTAAACGACAATTAAAATTAAAAAAATCCAAGCAGGTCTATTTAAAACAACACGAGACCAACAATAGTGAAATGATGAAAATATCTTGAAAATTTTTTTAAATTAAAATAGGCCTTTGTAATAATTATTTGCTTTGTTATTCAATTAAGCGTTAAAATGATGTCGAC